GGGGGGGGGGGGGTACTGTAAGGATGGTACCATTTGCTGGTTCTGTTTGTGTTTGTGTTTCCCTAGTGTTTCCTCGTCAGTTTAATTGGTGCCACCTTTGTCTCGTCACAGCTGTTGTAATCACGTCTTGTCTTGTCCTTGTATATAAGCCTTCTGTTCTGTTTTGTTCCTCGTCGGGTCGTATTCGTTGGGTCTTCATGTTTCCTGCGTCTCCTGAGTCTTCCCTGAGCTTCCTGAGTCCTTTTGAGTTTTCCCCTGAGTCTTCTAGTTCATGTAAGTTTTGCTGCCACGTCAGCTTATTGTTTCGTTACCTTTTATTTCGTCATTAAAGTATTTAGTTTTTTAATCTGCCGAGTTGAGTCCTGTCTTCACAACTGGGTTCGTTCCTGTCCACCAAATCCTGACAGAGCTGAATACAGCACCTCAGAATGAGGAAGTCTTTCGGATGAAAGACAAAACATTTCTACATTTTTTTTTGTTCTGTTTTTTGAGTGTCCAGAGGACCAGATTTAACTTTTTTAGATCTAGAGAAAATAGTTGCTGGGCAGCTGCATGATCATCTACAAAGTAATAATCTGTTTGAATAGTAAGTTTTTAGAGCTCACCATAACACTGAAGCAGCGCCGGTGAAAGTTACTGATATTCTCATATTTTCTGACAATGGACAGGTGTCTACATTGGTCATGTTAGACCTCAGTGCTGCATTTAATACAGTTGATCACAATTTTCTACTACAGAGACTTGAATATAACATTGGAATTACAGGAACGGCTCAAAATTGGTTTAAATCGTATTTATTTGATAGATTTCAATTTGTAAATATAAATAATAAATCTTCTTCATACTCCAAAGTGTCACAATCCTCACAGTTGGAACCCATTTGCAGTGAGGCGAGTGAGGCAGGAGTTTAAATAAAAATAATTTATTTAAACAACAAAACAAAAGGCTGTCGGTGCAGCAAAACTTACTTTGGCAAAACAGGATCAAAAACAAGGCTGAACAGGACATCAGAGTACACAGGCAGAGCAGATCATCAGGTGGACAAAAACAGAC